GGAACGCTAGTGAGGCTCCCCAGCTCCCAAGGTCACGGCAAGCCAGCTGCCCACCCCTGCCCACTGGTATGCAGCTTATAAATACGCCAGGGAGAGACAATCAGCTGCAGTCACAGGGATGTCTCCGTTGTCCCTTTCCTCTCTCTGTCATCGCCTTTTACAAATACTGGTGGTGGTGGGCTAGCCTAGGAGGTAGCAGCCTCAGCTAGGACAGCATCCTTAGGAACAATACGAGCCTTAAAAAGTAAGGTACAAACTAGAAGGCTGCAGCACGTACACGTGTGCAGTATTATACTCGCAACAAGGTGCCTGATACTTTGCCAGGCACACCATTTAGCCTCCCTTTTGAGGACCTCAGCTGGCAATATGGCCTGTTTCTGTGGACAAAGGTCAGCTCTGTTAGAGATTTGCTGCAAATATGGCACTGACTTCTTAACTTCAAGGACAAGAAGCAGCTAACCATCTCGAAAAACTGTGTTCATGACTAACTGTTGCTCACTGCCATCAGATACCTGTGACAGTCCTCCAAGAGTTTTCCACAGTTGCCAAAGGCACTGCTGAAGTTCTGCATCCAGAACTTGATGATCTTCTATCACGAATGACAACAATGATTCAGCGCAACAGATTTCTGCACCTTCCGATTGTGCAAGAGAATTGTTAGACGAATTAGAAGATAGCTTTAACTCTCCTACACACCTCCTCTAGGAGCCAAGTTTCATACCCCCATTAATGTGCTGCATTTTTAATGGGCCCAGTCTTTGTTATCTATAGATTCACTCTGTCCTTCATAACAAGAGATAACAAACTTGGGGGAGTGGGGAGTGCCTCAGGGAAATCCAATGTTTTTCAGATACAGAAAACCCAGACACCTGGTTTGGGATCTTTTTCATAGAATCACAGAATGGTTTGAGTTGGAAAGGACCTTAAAGATCATCCAGTTCCAATCTCCCTGTCATGGGCAGGGACACCTCCCACCAGACGAGGTTGCTCCCGCCCTTGGGCCCCTCCCGGGGGGGGGGAAGCCGCAGCTTCTCTGGGGAACCTGTTCCAGCATCTCATTGCCCTCACAGTAAAGAACTTCTTCCTAATATCTAATCTAAGTCTTCCCTCTTTCAGTTTTAAACCGTTACCCCTTGTCGTGTCACTACACTCCCTGATCAAGAGTCCCTCCCCGTCTTTCCTGTAGCCCCCTTTAAGCACTGGAAGGCCGCTATAAGGTCTCCCCAGAGCCTTCTCTTCTCCAGGCTGAACAAGCCCAGCTCTCTCAGCCTGTCTTCATAGGGGAGGTGCTCCAGTCCCCTGAGCATCTTCATGACCCTCCTGTGGACCCGCTCGAGCAGGTCCATG